CCTGGACCGTGTCTGACTAACCGCGAGTAAAGAAAGCACTCACGTTGACACTCACGTACGAACACGTGAAATTTGACATAACTCCGCAACCAGAGCAGCTGGTGTGCTGAAACTTTCTGAGCACTACCCAGGACCATACTTGAGCAACTGCGAGCGAAGAAAGCATTCACGTAGCCACTCACGTACGAGCACGTAAAATTTGGCGTAACTGTGCAACCGAAGCATCTAGAGCACTGGATCTTCTGGGCATGGATTGGGAGTCATTGTAATAAATTTCTAACAGTTGTAGTGGCCATTCCCAATTCTATTAGCTAGAAGCATCTGCCAGGAAGAACGCGCCGCTGGCGAAAAAACCTGCGGCGGGGGGGAACTCCGCAAAAGCGCGTCCTCGTACCGGCAGCCGGCACGCTTTCTACTAGGTTTTTAAAGTTGTCGTTTTCGCAATTATTTTGGCAACTGTGTATGTGCTCAGTTTGTGCAAAATGATGCAGAGGCACACCCAGAAAAAATGCGTATTTGCGTTCAAGTACGTGAATTTGCTAACGCGCCATTCTCTTGCGTTTATACTCTGGAACTGTCATAACCAGACCTAACAATACGATAATTTCGTTCACGCTTATTAAATTTAGCGACTTTGGTCATGATTGTGTCTCGAGAAGCACTTGAACTTGTTTACAAAAAATCAGCGTTGCTAAGTGTTTTGAAAAGCAGCTGAAGCTCCGATGCTGTATTCAATTTAGCTGACTAGAAAACAGATGTTTTAAAAAGCAAACAAGGTGCCATTTCGATTAAGCAGTACCAATTTCTTGCAGGGTACCAAATGAGATTCAATAATGTTTAATGCGTTGTTGCTACAGTGAGCAAAAACACATACTGTCGAGAGATCGCCCACGTGCGTGTGTCCGAAAGTGAGCGAACTTTTTCACTCCTATCAACTCAGCAACCACTAAAGCTGGGAGACTGAAATTTAGGAAACATATTCTCACCGCATGTATCACCCTACGGTTTTAAAATCTTCGCGTATGCATGTTCATATCATGCTTACGGACACCTGAAAAAATATGCAAATTTTTATCGCAAATTCAAAAACGAGTGCATTTGGCGGATTCCAGGATGTTTTTCCGACTTCATTCAAATTTGCATTTTTTCAGTGTACGAGCATTCTCCGGAAAACGACAGGGCTTCGTGCAAAAAACTGATAATCATGTACGCTGGAGGTCTGTGCGGCACCATAATGAAGCACTTTCATCCCAAGCCACGCCCTTTCCCTTGCATGCGGGGAGAGGCCAAAACACAACCAATATGAGCCCAAGTGTTAAACTACAGTGCAGGAACCATTTCTGCTTTAGCGATCTGCGAGTTTAGCGCCAAAACACGTGATTGCATCGGCAAGCCTGGTGCGCTGCAGTCTGGTTTTCATTAGCAAGCAATGGTAGATATTTTGGAAGTAAATTTCAGCTCCACAGGTTTCCTGGTTCCCGAGTTAATGATTTTCACGCCAGAAACCCTCACAGGGCCATGTGTGAAAACCACGCATGCCTGAGCGCTGAATTTGAAATCTTTGAGTTCTGTGGAGACAGGGAACATAACCTCAAGATTTCAGCTTTCTAGCTTTTGTGGTCCCCGAGTTAGCAATTTTCCCGCCAAAACTTTGAGGCGCTAGTACGCGGGGCCTAGACGTGCTTGAGGGTTGGTACCGCGGTCCTGGCGTGGCACTTGGACGGGGAAGTCACTCGCAAAATTTTGGCGCCGAAGCTTGCTTGGGTGCCGAGTTGAAATACACGGACAGACGTACACACACACACACACACACACACACACACACACACACACATACACCCTCTCACACGTATACACACACAGACACTCACACGCATACACACACCGGGGTCGTCACAATATGTGTTTTTGCATTTGCATATAAGCAAAAATGCATAAAAGCATAATGAAAAGATCATGTGCACAGCATCAGTAAGCGTGTGGTAAATCAATGGTCGGATGAAAACTGACCTCTTTGGGTCTGTTTTCTCTACTGTCTGCTGAGCAGCCGCTTGGAACTAGTTCACGACTACTCGATTTGTAAGAAACTATTTGCAGCTACGGATCCATGCCAGCTACCATTGTCGCAAGGAATCATCAATGATGGTGGGCCGTACACACGTTGGTTCTACGATCGTATTTCCGGTTCCTGCAAGCCATTCCAGTACGCTGGTATTGGTGGCAACCAAAATAACTTCTTAACAAGAAGCGACTGCGCCAAACGTTGCCCAGGTATTTTTTAACTTTATCAGAATTGCAGCAGATTTTGTAGTAGATGGGTAGAGTCGCGAACGGAAGCGGGAGAGGTAAGAAACAGATGTTCATGGGCTGTTCTCGATCACAGAACATGTAAATTTTCTGAACGGAAGGAAAAATATAGTAATTAATTTGGGGGGTGAAAAATGAAACTAGGTCGGTATAAAATTTGGTTTGTGGGCGCAGCACAACTCATTGGCGACGCGCACGAGACGGGCCGGCCTGTGCGATCATGTGCTTTTGCAGTTTTCTTGCTGTGGTAAGATCGTTTGGGGTCCCAGTATTTAGAATTTGTGACATGCTTATCCTCGAAGTCTAGGAAATTGTGCGGCTACGTGGTACTTGAACACGGGACATTCCATTAAAATTTCAGCTTTTCTTGTTTCCAAGTTAGCAATTTTCCCCCCCAAAAAATTTTCAGATCCGTGCTTGAGAACAACGCACACTTGGAAGCTGAATTTAAAATTATAAATTCAACGTGAATGGGAAACATACCCTTAGAATTTCAACTTTTCAGCTTTTCTAGTTCCCGAGCTGGCAGTTTTCCTACTAAAAATTTTCAAGAGCCCACGCGTGAAAAACACGCGCATTTGAGTTCTGATTTCAAAATCTTTAAGTTCCACGAAGACGGGGGCGTTTCCTTTAAATTTCAGCTTTCTGGTTTTTCTGATTCCCGAGTTAACAATTTTTCCGTCAAAAATTTTTGTGGGTCCGTACGTGAGAACCATGCACACCTAGGGGCTAAATTTGAAACATTGGTGTTGTACATGGGCTGAGAACTTCTCTTTAAAATTTCAGTCTTCCAGCTTTTCTGGTTTCCGAGTTAGCGATTTTTCCGCGAAAACTTTCACATGCTCGTACACGAGGCTCAGACCTGCGTGAAGGTTACTACCGTGGTCTTGGGAGACAATTAGCGGGGAAACTCACTGCAGAATTTTAGCGCCAGAGCTTGCTTGGTTACCGAGTTGAAATACTCGAACAGACGGTGCACATATACATACACACACACACACACACACACATGCGCACACCATGGGTCGTCACAATATGCTTTTTTGCGTTTGCACATATGCAAATACGCAAATAAATTAAAACTGTGTGTGTGCTAAAGGGCAGGAAGCTGCATTGGGGTACGCAACAGGCAAGCAAATAGAGTCCGAAGTGCCAAGTTCTATTTTACTGATGATGCACTATTTCTGTCAGAGTATCCCAGATGCATTTCTCATTTGTCTGAGGTAAAATCCGTCACTGGACTAAACGATGCGACTCATCAGCATAGTTTGTTTTTTAGCAGACCTTTTTTGGGTTTTTTGTAAGGTTGCAAAAAATGATTTTGTCTAATCTATCGTACATTAATGTTACTAACAACTCTGAAAAAAAAAAAAAAACAAATTTTCTGCTCTTCTTTTGCAAAAAGAATTCTAAGCATCTCCTGGCTATACAACTAGTCCAGAAAACTCAGTTATCGTTATCAATAAAATAACGCAATATTTATCCTAGTTTGTATGACAGACCATTTTAAAATGAACCTTAGCTAAGATAGACTGATATGCAGGCTAGTTTTGGTTCAGCTAAATACAGTGAATTGAGGATCTGAAAAAAATATGAGATGCATTCGAAAAAAAAATTACGCGGTACGCATACCATTCACTGGGTTGCAGAAGGCAGGCTGACAATAGTGGATTCACCGAATCTCTCAAGCATATGCCCTATCGCACTGCCTTATCAAGCCCAAGATGGTTCAGTGCTTCATTGTTCAGTAATGAATCCATGTCCAGTGAATCATTTCTGCCATATCGGAGCAGATGTTTCCACAACCGTGTGCTGCAATGCTACAAGTTTCATTCATTTATCATTATTATTACTTCATTTCGAATTCTAACACTACTTAATTTCAGATTTTGGCTTTTCTCTTGGGTCTCATAGTCCTCCTCTTTGATAAGACGAAGGTGTTAGGATTGTCCAGGCCACATATGTTGTGGTTAATATCACTTTGACAAAGTATAACTAATTGCGCAACGCAGCTTTGTCTGGATTCCCGCTCTGAGTTGCTTCTTAGCATTTCACCTTCTCACTCATATGTATTAACTATTTACTCAACGGTCACCGGAATGTTACTTTCCTTTCTTCTGATTACCACATTGTAGTACAGTAAATACTGTTTTGGTTCGTATAATATGTAGTCGTTAAGGTTAATATCACTTCCTCATTCTTGCTCCAAAGTAGCAGCTTTTTTGCTTTCCTTGAGCGCATGGCAAGCTTGTCTCGTCTCCATTAGCAGTCAGGAACAGAGTAAACTGGGCGACAGGATGTCGGAACACTTTGAAAAGTTCAAAACCGAGATACCAACTTAAGGTACTCAGTGAGCTGGAAAACAAGTAGTTGGCTATGAATTCAGCGTTTTATAACTTTCCTCGCTCAAGAATCACTCATATATAATCACCACACCAGCTGCACGATTGAACTGACGGTGTGCGGATGTGTTATTAAGCTAAGACATGCACAGTATAATAGATTAAATTACGTTCACTCAGCTTAGTGTTGTTGGCTTCATGATAGGCTCTTACTTCATTTGCTTTCTTTGTTTCGCCCACTGTTTTGTTGTTTTACCAGCAAAATTTTTGTCGCTGGGTTTACATGAACACGAAAGTTTTCGGATTTCTTTTCAGCATCCATGTCACCGTGCAGCTTACCGGTTGAAATTGGGCGTGGTTCAAGTAGTTTGAGGCGAGTGTATTACAATCCAGTCCTACGGCAGTGCATTCCTTTTGTCTATTCCGGATTGGGTGGAAATGAAAATAACTTCCTGACAATGCAGGAATGCACGGTACAGTGTTTGAGTCAGCAGTTCAACGTCCCCTTTTCAGATTCAGGTGTGTTCTCATGATTTTTATTTTGAATGAAGCGCATCAAAAATTGAAAGCGTAAGCCTTAATATTGAGAGGTTTCAATTTTTTTCGTAGCAATTTCTTTTCGCCAAAATGCTACACTCGCAGCCTTGCAGATTTGATCCAAAAATTAAAAGAGAAATCTTTCAAACCGATTTGGTTCGTTTTGCTGAAAACAAGCGATTTTAATTTAGTTATAACTGAATAAGAGTACGTATAACTAAGACATACAATTATGAGAATTTTTGGCGGATGAAATAAGCAAGAGAACGATATAGTTTTGCCAAGGTGGCCATTGCCTCGGGTAGGAGTCGCCTGAAAACTTATCTGACGAGTTTCAGTGTGCTAATTTCCAGTAAACAATTTCAAGTTATTCTCGGCGATAACTCAAGCAGACCGGTTTCTTACTTTTCCAATTAGTTATTTGTGATTCATTTAAGCTGGAACTGGCACAAAATAGCCGTGCAGGTAAGATAAGCAGCCGCGGGCTCGTGGGTTGTGGCTGACTGCAGTGGTACATATAAGGACTATAGTTTGTTTTCAGCCCAGTGCATAGGAAACACAGACTTTTAAACTCATGAAAAATGTCGGAAGTTTAAATCAAGATGCAGCGAGATTCCAGCAAAATAATCCTCTAAAATTTTCAGACTGTACTTTTTATTGTGCGTTTTTGCGTAATGCAGTGCAAAAACATATCTTGTCATGAGGTTATTTGCATATGTGTATGTATGTTTATGTTTGTGTGTTTCTCTGCGTGTGTGTTTCTGTGTGTATGAGTGCCCATATACATCAACCGTGAAGCTGCAGACGCTGCAAGCTAGGACTTTTTTGGTAATGTAGCGAACATTTTATGCTTCTCTGCGCTTCTCCCTTGGCAACAGATATCGTGGTTTTACACCGCCCTAATCCCTTAGTATCTAGGTTTCTTCAGTCAATTTCGAATCATCGGTATGAAATTACTTTGACTGTTCGTAGGTAATCATGAGCATTCTTTGATCTCCCACACTGACGCTTCCAAAGGGAGAGGGCGGA